AGCCTCGCTCCACTCATCTCGATGGCTTTTTGACTCGCGGAACGGTTTGCGACGGTGGGGGCACGACTGCATTGGCGAAAAGGCACTTTGGCAGTCCTGTCTACAAAGGCGGAAAAAAATAATACAGTGGCATAGCCGATGCTATCAACTGGAGGAGGGGGTATCTACCCCATCACTATGGTGAGCGGTAGCATCAGTAATGGCTGCATGGACGATGTGAGTGACGCGGAAGTCGGCGAAACTGTGTAGGAGGGGGAGGAGGAGGAGAGGCAATCGACTTTCCATTTCCAAGCGATATGCAACCGTGTCAGGAGCAGGAACTTTTTCTTGTTTGTTTGCTTTTAAATTGATCGGATTTTCGTTTGCTTGTCTAATGAAAATGCACATATTTATGTTCAAACGATTCAAAAATTTTAATTAGGCTGAAGAGATTTTTGACAGTCTACACAAGGTTTATTCAGGTCCTGGTGTTATTTTGAATGCACTGACTAGTTACTAGATGCAATTCCTAATTCTTTTAAAAGGAAATTTGGGTTCTGCAATTGCTGGAGAGTAGAAGATACGGCACTCGGGAATAATTACAACCCAGTTTTAGCGGACAACACTAATGGGTGGAGTCTTGGGTGGTTTTTTTGCGACCACCTTGTTTACTGTAGATTAAATTGAGCTGCTGTTTGCATGGTAAACTAACCCCATAGTCAATTAATGGTCCAATTCACAACAAGTTTTAAAGTGAAGCAGCGTCGACACAGAAAGTATGGCCTATGACAGTTGAAAGAGCACTTCTACCATGCTCAACAGTTCATCACAGAACAAAACATCACGTCTATCATCAGGGGCTCTTTCGTGTTACCGACTAAAGTTTACCACGCAGCATGATTTTAGAGCAGTTTGAACAAAGTCCTTTCTCTCTGGTTCATCTTATCCGACTAATCTATAAGCTTGCCCCTGCAGAAGCAGAACTTTCAAGCTGCACATCAGCCTCCGGCCCAAAAAATGAGGCAAGTCTGGTGGCCATCACATCTTGATTAATTGAGGAAGAGTCATGCTCAATTAATTTCAACGTTTGTTGCGTCCCAGTTTACCGAAGTAGGACATAACTTATCCCAAAAATACAAAGAAGTTTAGTTTGCTGCCTTTTTGGGTGGCAATTTCTGTTAGTATAAAGGGCGCCAATAAAATGTGTGCTAACGAATGAATTTAGGCCAAACCCTCTGCTGGCCCACTTTTCAATCCCTAAAACCCCTGTGCCTTGTTATTTTCTCTCAAGTTATTCCCAGGAAAATCGCAGATGTGCCTAGGAATATCCAGCAAATTTATTGCATCGTTCATAAAATTCCTCATGAAATAGTTTTTTTCAATTTTCCAGAGCAGTTAGAGAATACGCAGGAATCCTTTTCCATTTGTTCCGGAAATTCGTCAATCCACCCGTAAAATGAAACCTTGTCACAATCGAGGAACAAATTTTAGGGAGAAGCTCCTCCAAAAATCGCGTTTTTTCCCCCAAATTTAAACTGTATGCTTAAATTGAACACTATAGTTACTAATATATCGTATGAAAGAGCAAGTGGGTATTGTTTTACACCAACTTCTTCATAAAATATTAGATATAAGTTACAGTTTTCTTTGATTTTTCGATGACAAAATTCCAAAAGCCCCCACAATGCTCCGTGATTGTAACATTTTACAGTAACTGTGACGGTCTCCCCCTCAAGCAAATTTCTCCCCTGTTTCTTCAAAATCATCCAGTTCGCAACGGAAGCAAGTCCTACGTAAAAGTGCACCATTTTAACCGTAGTGCACTTTAAAGTGGTAGGAAAACTGGTGCCTCGCTAGGGGAGCGAGTTCTTCGGTCACCAGCATCAACCTTCTCTGATGATACGTTGAGATCCCAGTTTACACCATAATTACTCGACCCACTTCCCAACGCCTACTTTGTGAGGGATTATGCGGAAATTGGGGATTTAAAAATGCAAATTGAAGTACGCGATAAAGAATGAGGTTGAATAGATTTAACAACGTATAATTCGCGAAATTTGTTTTTGTAATTTTGTAGTTAAATTAACTTCTAATATCTCCGTTTTTTAAATAAAAACATTTAATATAAATACGATGGTATCTCTAGTTTGCTCCGTCCAAAATGTTGACACTCACTTGTCAAAGTCACCGCATCTGACGAGCAAGGCGAAATTCATGTTACGAAATGTAAACAGACTACTTCCCCACCTATAAAAATTCTTAAAGTGTTTATTTAACCTAACTTTTAACGGTAATCTTGAAATTTTCCGCATTTGAAATTAATGGGGCAGCACTGCATTCATGGTGCTGACTGCCTTATTTGTCCATCCCTAAGTGAACTGATTTTGTTAGACAGTTCACACTAGAACGCTGAGCCATCGGCCACTTCTCAACTTCCCTGATAAAGGGGAACCGGCATCGAAGTGCAGCAAGCAGGGCTTATTTTCTCCCTCACCTTCCTCATTAGGCATGCACCTAGTGGTTGTGGATATAAGTACACATAATTTGAGATTTGGTGTGGCACCATTCGAATACCTGCAACTCTCCAAATGATTAGCTAAACAATTTCCCCAAAAAGTACCCTACAGTGCAATACCATCCATCAATCTGGGTGGAATCGCTAACAAAATCATCCCTTATGATACCACGCCAATGGTATTTTTTGATGTCTGAATTGGGAAGAGGAACCAGATTAGACCTGTAGAGTTGTATGCAAATAAATTCTACCTAGAAAATTATTTAAATGGATCAGTAATTAACTTCACATCTTTCTGTCACCCAATACATACGAAACTGCTTCCCAGGAAAATATGGAAAAGTATCCCCGAATATGAAGCTGCTTATTGTTTTTACCTTGCAATGATAAGTGGTGTCCAGTGTATACGAACCGTACGATGCTTTTTTTCTAGATTCAGAAGAATTAAAAGTTATGCAAACATTATGATGAGCAAGCAGTTGGTGTCCAGCGCTCTGAACCACCTCCGCAAACGTAAAAACGCGCATCAAAGAGGAAGAGGTTTATTGCTTGTGTGCAGGGAAGTTAAGGACGGGACGCAATGACATCATGTTATCAATCAAACCGTGGGTTCCAAAGTACTTATGCGAAGAAACGCATAGTTAAAATAACTACTCTTTTAATGCATGATCAGTACCTTTAATTATTATCTCTAGTACTTCACGTGGTTGCTGTTCGTCATCAAAAATCACAAGCATTTCTGTAAATGGCCATGGACGATGACGATGCTATAAATTTACTATCCACTTCATCAGTAACTTTGACTCTTTGAACATTGCGCCTCTAAAAAGGCGACTGTGTCTAAGATAGATTCAATTCTGAAATGCAGTGAGGATTGGGCGATGATCTACAATAAAATGTTCCATAAGATAGTTGGTTTTGTGGTAACATTTGACCAAAGGCTGCATAAGGTGGGGGATTTCATATCATTAGGCTATAACATCAGTCACACCGACATTTATCTGTCATTTTCTTGTACTCAAGTCATGAATGTTTAATATAAGTGGATACTAAAGGTGCGTAACAATTAAAGTGCTTTCCATGGTAGGAATTCTATATAAATTATGACATAATAAAAATGAATGAAATTGTTCTACTTCATACCTAATGCTCTCACAAAAGTCAAAACCACCATGCACTTTGTCTCACGCCCCTCAGTGCTATGTAACTTGGACATCTCGATACGGCACAATTTTTGATACATCTGTAATCTACTAGTTGGTTCCACATCTTTAAAATCAGCAAAAGAAATTTCAAAAATTCCCTTTCCCTTCAATATTGGTTACTTCATGTTCAGTCAGTCGGTATCCGTTGATGTTACGAGGTGTGGGAATCTGAAAGTCGATTTAATGAAACTACCGAGAAGATCCCAGGTATCAAAGAGGAGCCTCATGCTAACGGTAAGGTTGCCATGTAGCGGTTTACTGGGAGGACCAAAATGGCTAAACATGCAACAGAAAATTTTTTTCTGTCCTTGAGTGACATCCGCGTCACTTCCTGTTTTCATTCCTCTGTTTTGGCCGTGACAAAGCTCTCAAATGTATTAAAATCGTCTGTGAACAAAAAACAAAGAAACAACTGAGATTTTTTGGTAGGAACAGAAGGCACCCGAATTGGTGATTGCAATCTATCCCGCAGATTTATCTGGATCCAGAGTTATGGTCTTTTTTTGAAGTGCATTTCTGGAAATCATCTGCCCTACAATGCCGAAGAATAACCAATATTTTACGAGGAGCATATCCTGTATTCCTATCGCTTCTCAGGTAAATTTTCTTAATAATAGAGCCACGTAACTGGAGTAATTTTGCAAAAAATTTTGCTTTGAGTTTACTCTCCCATTTAAATATACTACTGTTTTAGCGCTTTACGATCTCCCACCTGGGTCCGTTATTAATTACTTGCAACATGTTTTGGTTCCTAATCTTTATTAGGTAATCCCTTCCCAATAGCATTACCAAAGGTGGCTTTGATTTTATTCAAATGTGGTTTCACTTTAGTTTCTTTTGAGCATAATGCAGAATTCTAGGCTTATGAGTCTGCCCAAAGTGGACGCTATGCAAAAGACCTTTATACTGTGAGTCGTCGCATATTCAACAGCTCACTGATGTCTTCCTTTTAAAACCCAGATTTAGTAAAATCGAGCCATTATAACCAGAGTTTTGCCTATTTGGAGGTAGTTTGTTCATCTCTGCATTTCTCTTTAAAAGCATTATCGTGCGAACGAGTCTGGAAGGGGCCTTATTATAAACGTGAGGGGGTGATGGTAAATTGTTGGCATGGAAAGCCTAAGTGTGATAGCCGAATCACGAATGGCCGGATAAATTAAGTATTTAAAGGAGCAAAACAATAAGATAATTTTTTCGTAAATATTGATGGTCTGCACATTTATGATATAGGAAGCGTTTTTCCACTGACACGAATGAACGAAAAGGATGAGGGAAATGAAGGCAAATCACCATCAAGTGTGAGTGTCTGGAGGATCGAGGAGCCCAAGGATCTGGCAAATGCGATACAACTGCAGAAAACTCTCTATGCCATTCGACTTAATGGACGGATCGTATGTGAAGCGGAATCTTGTGGTAGGTTACCTCCCACCTCTCGTTCCCTTCTCTTAGCCAAAAAAAGTCCAGTCATGTCAATCGGGTCTAGTGATTTTATAAACGATCTATTGAGGCCTCACTCACATCAGGGCATAATGGTTATGTCTTCCATCTTTTAGATTTAATTATGATTTTATAATGGCAAAGTGGAATTGCACCCACCTATTTATTGTCCTTTATTAAGAATGCATTTTGAAGCTTTTGAGAATGTCATGTGATACGGTTGAATGGAAAATTGTTCATATCTCTTACATTAAAGTGTAAAGATGGAATACAAGGCAGAGGGAGACTTGCGTTTTGAAGGACTTAGGAAACACCATCCTGAGGCTCAACGCCCTGTGATACACTTGCACTGAAGTGACAGTTAAACCTGATTTTGGTGAAGAGAGGTGCACTTGACACTAGATGTCATCCCTTTTTGGATTAATCTAAGGCCACAATTCAGTGTTGAAGACAAAGCTGTCCATCTTGCTGACTTGGTAAACCAGCAAAGCAAGGTGGGCTCTAGTGGTAGGTACAACACACTTTATGCAGCTTTGTGTCTGCTATCATCCTGCTTTATCTGATCCGGCTCAAGAAAGTCCCCTGTTATTTGCGTGATTTTACAACATTCTTAGATGAACAAATAAAATATAACTTTGGTTATGAGAGCATTATACAAATAAACAAAGTAGGCGAGATTGGGAGAATGTCTAGGATGTCTGGCCAGACCTGGAGAGCACCAGCACGTTGCAAACAAACTTATGATTTATTTCCTTCTGACCTTTTTCTACCATAGTTAAAAAGCATTTTTTTTTTTCTAAAAGACAGCAACGTTAGTATACCTTTATTTGATTAGAGCATTAAAGAGTCCTGAGATACGCATTTCCCTTGGGGGTCGTAGTTTTATCGGTCAATGTTCCGTATCATGCTAGTCTGTTAAAATTAATGAGTGTTCAATTTGCTTTTTTTGGGTGATTGAAGCATCCGCCCTTTTGTGTTTGTCTGGAACGTGTAGATTCGCAATTTAACCTTTATTTGTAAATTTTTCTTAAATCTCGTGCCTTTCTCTTATTTTGGAGCCTGTGAGGTTAATCATTTGATAGATGGGTTATGTTTGCTTTTCTTAGTCCATTTGGATAATAAGCTAATGAGCACTTCGAGAAGGCGTTGCATTCAATGGCTAGACTCCACTGAAACCGTCTGCAGATAAGAAAAAGTTTGGAGTAATACTTTTCACAGGACATTTGGGTTTACTGGGTAAAATTTTGCTGCATGACTTCTTTATTATCGAATTCTGTTACCGGTCTAAGCAGTCGCAATTCTGTTTTTTTTAGGTTCAACTAGTGCCTAAAGTGAAGAGACTTTTTTCGTTATTTTAGGTTGAAGGTGCACCAACAGTTTCACGTCTTAGCAACTGTTGGTGCACCCAGCATTAAGCCCAGTGTAACTGCCCAAGCTCTTCCGTGTTCCCCCTAAGTTTTTGCTAATAATTTGTACGAGGGAGTGTAATGCTGTAATTTTTATGCACTTTGAGACTTACCTTTTCACCTTTCATGCAGCTGGGCTTTTAGTCCTTTAAAGTTTTTTTTTAAATGGAAGTTAAGTTAACTTTTCTAGTTAGCACAACATTGCGTTTGTGCCCTCCATTCAGCGCAATCCATACACATTGGAGTGACGAGACAGGTGAATTAAGTGCCCAGTTGAAATCTGTCACACCAAGTGGCTCACCACCGCTGCCAATTTTCGCGCTTAGCTTCGAACTCCCAAGAAAAATCCAGACCCGTCTAGCCTTTGGTGAGGCTCGGCCAGTGACGAGGACGCACATTTACACCCATTTAGATGGTAATGTGTTCTTTCCCCGAACTCCTTTCATTCGAAGACTCAAACCACCCATCGGCATTAAAAATGATGAGGAGATCTTCTGAATTTGGGGAGTTTGATCAGAGTTTTGCTACAAATAATCCGGCATAGATAGAAAATATTCGCCTAAACCGTGTCACCGGTTCAATTACAGCTACATGGTTTTGACATGTAGCTTCATGGAATTATTACAAGTCCGAAGGATGCCAAATTTATTCCTTCTTTGAGAATATTCAATGGCAGTTCATTGCCTCAACGATGCAAATAGTCATATCATGAACCCCGCAGCACTGACATAGAAATGACGAGACTTGATGGCTTTCAGATAAGGTGGTTTCGGTAAAAACCAGTTTCTTTTTTTATGTTCACAAGTGAATCCATCAACATTCAGACTCGTAGCATGTGGGCCCTTCTGATTCTGGCAAGCGAACACTTTATGCGGTGATAAAATACTATCCCTGTGCGAATGATATAGCTAAATGACAGCCTGGGTTTTATTAAATTCAAAACTATCACAAAATTAACAAAAGTAAAGTTAATCTAGCTGGTTTACAATTTTATTCACACGCCGATTTCACAACAGTAGATTAGATCTTGAATCTACCCCTCTGACGTCTGGTTTTCAGCCCCTGTAATAATCTAAATTCTGTGGCCATACACCTTAACGTAGTGAGAGATTTCAGAGGTGGCCCAACAAACCGGTTTGTTCATGACCTAGACAAATGCAAATTTTGGGGTAGGCAGTGATTCTTTGCTGGATCACAAAATAAACGTTGTCTGTGAATTCAGCTAAAATGACTTGTAACCAATTCCCTTAATTTCGCGTAATCAGATTTCGATTATTCAAAGTGAGGATCAAAGGAAGTATATAAATAAAGTTAAATCCCCAAGGTCATGGTTAGTGTTTCGAACCATGGCTGGCTGATACAGAGGTGTTGTAACAATTCTCTGGTCGAGTCTAAATGACAGAAAGAAAGCAGAATGTATCGACTGCTACTGAGTCACTTACTCGTTCCCTTCTGTCCGAGGACACCTGCGTGCTCTGGACAATCCGCTTTGGATACAGCGTCAACACGTGTAAGGCGGAACCTGTTTCTATGACGACGTTGATGGCACTTTCACTCTCGGTTGCATGAAAGGCTCTAAAATTAAATGCAGCAGTAATAAAGCAAGCGCTAATGGTGCATGATGGGCTAGCAAAGTACAACTATGAATAGTACAAAAGGGATTATTTTGTACTGAATTTTGGATGTAATTAGGGTTCTGGTATTTTAATGTGCACAATTCTCAGAATCTAGCGATCAGAGTGTTCAAGAAGGACCAAAGAATTAGAAAAGCAAATAGCGCATGTTAGGGGCATAATCAAAGTTGCAGCAAATGTTACCAAAGCATTTGAATATTCTGATACATTCTTTACACTACCACAGTGGAATTGTTACCAAACTCCAAGTTAGAGTTAGTGGTGTGCACCCTGACAATGAAAGCATAATGTTTCCTTAAAAAGGTTTTATTTGATTTTGCAAAGAGATCCCCTTAAAATGTAGTCTCGAATGGGTTTCAGCCCATTAATAATGTCCATTTTAGGCTAAAATCCATTTTCCATTCCCTTTATTTAGTTTGCAGAGGCCTTTAGTATTTTCAGCGAAAAATTAACACCACTAACACTGTATTACTCAGAGTCAGGATCTTCGGAGTTGGAAAGATTGTGAATAGCGTTCTTCAAGGTAAATGCCAACTTTATATGCGACAATCCGGTTTGGTGTTTTGTGTTTATATTGTTCTAAATGAAAAAACCACTATTGAATTTGATACATCAAATGCAAGTGCCTCAGTCCAGTTAAAGTTTGTATAATCAAGATTTGACTACGAATGCACCAATCTTCAAGCTGTATTAGTGCGTTTGACCACTCTTTCAAGTAAAGCAGCAGTTTTCTAAGGTTACCCTATTAATATCACAAACCTTTCCCCCATGTGAGAGATTTAAACAGCATTTATTGAGGGAATTTTAAAACAAAAAGTCAACCTCCCCTTGCTTTGATCAGTTTGTCAGCTCACGCACACGAACATGGGCTTTAGACGAACAGCTTAACAACATTGCGGATGATAAAAGCAATTTTCACTGAATTGGTGAGTAGTCCTGACGGGCATTGTAAAAAGTCATTTGAAGGGCACTCTTAAATGAATTACCGCGCGCTCTGTTCCATTTGCATTCTAGTGGATTATACTCCCACCTTTCAGTTAGATAAACTTAGTTCCAATGAAAACTGATGTCAATTGGGGTCGGCTCCTAAAACCTTTAACGTAATTTAAGATGTTTAAAGTATCCCTTAGCAGTTTTACTACTAGAATCCCGATGGAAAATTGACTACAAAGGTCTAGATGTGCTTTATTGCTTGAACACTGATAAATATTTTTACTAATTTCTCGTCTCATCCAGTTACCTCTCAACAAATATGAAAGAGAATCATCCTCGAACAGAGAACATCTCAGTCCGTTTTATTGTTTTTTTTTTCCTCTATTTGTCTACTCACGTCTCAATATGTCACCACCGCTTAGCAGTCCCGAGTAATAATACGCACCACTTATATGTGACTCCGCATCACACATGCATGATGTTGACAATCAAGTAATGTTTGCATGGGCTTTAGCAATGTAGAACTTCGAAAAAATTTTTAAAACTGCCTTTCCCGAAGAAATCGTGTGGCATTTTCCCCTATGACTAAATCGACAATCCACTGACAGGTGACGTCCAAGTGGTGTTGGTGAACCGTGAAGGCGAGGAGAGCATTTGCTCGAGCATCGACACAGATTTGGTGGCTGTGCTGGATAGCTACACCATTCAGTGTCACAGTGGTGTTATCACCTCGGATGCGGTGGCAGTTAAACTGGTCCCCTCGGCAAAAGTATCTGCGGTCCCCAGACTGCAAATTACCGATGGTTATGCACGCTTCATCCTCACCAACAATAAACAGTCGCGCAGCCTCTCCGCTCTGCCCAGTCCTTCCAAGGAATTCTTCGGTTAGTCTTCTGAGTAACTTTTTACTCTTGGTGTAACTTGAGAAGGCTACCTTGTTTTGACTGACTAGGGGATCAGACAGAAGCAATAATATTGCTCTAATGCGCTTTGAAGGCATTACAACACACGACCCAGGAAGCGGCTTTCTTATCAGCTTACAAAAGAGCAACCATATATCTTTACAACCACCGAAATAGGCTTCTGGGATTCCATGATGTTAAAATTTATGAATTCATCCATTTGGAGTATAGTTTGTAAAGATAAGCCATTCCACAATCAGCCCATCTTGTCACCTTCTGGAATACAGAACAGAGGCTGTTGCGGTACCGAAGAAGCCCTAAGATCATGCTAGTATTGGAGTAGCTTCATAACAGCTCTTCCTCAACTAATAAACTTGGTTTGTTATTAAAGTTAGGTTATAAACATCTACGATCTTAGCCCTTCAGAGCATTTTCTAGGGTAAGCATCTATTCCACTTTAATGCAAGTTTTCTCTGAACCGCCATTGGAGGCAACTGTGAGGGCGGAGTTGCATTCATGTTTCTAGTTAGAAAATAAGTATCATTCTGTGAAACAGCAATTAAACTTCATTAACAAGGCAATGCACTCATAAATTCGCATGGTTTTTCGTGTACAACCTTAAGCCGTAGTGGAAAACTTCGTGCGGCATTGCTAACTAAATTGCAGTGTAATCCCTTACCAAAGAGACAAAAATTACAGTGATTTACTTCCTGTAGACAGCAATTTATCCTGAAAAGCAAACAAACTAGCAACATCCACTTCTATTTCCACCATCCCAACTCCGTTTCCCAACTGTCTATTTTGCATGTCAATTAAAGAGATTGCATCACCAGGGAAATGCGGAGGGTAAGGGTGAGGGTGAGTCAGTACCTCCCATCCTAAGGCGCAAATTTTCCTACAGGTAACTTTTTCGATGAAGCACAAAGTCTGGCGTTGCCCCAAATGACTTCATTCTGACTGATTGGCTAGTACTAGTTGGTTCCAGCGAAAGATTTTCTGGCACACCTTCAAGGTGCATCAAGTGTTATGGAGCAGACAACTCTTAACCATAACTATTTGGCTTTAAGCAAGTGAGCAACCAATGGTGGAAAATTCCTCTTGCAATTTATTTGAGCGTTGATTTGGGGACGGGTTGGTGTATGACTTCGAAAAGAGTGGATAATTGGCGTATAACTAATGATATGTCCATTTGTTTAAGGAATAAGAAAGTACGTGACATTTTACGCTTCAAGGTAGTCAGCAGGCAACACGAAGTTTGCAGCGTACTTTATAACGAGAAAAAAGTAAAGAACAGCAAATGGCAGGTCTTGAAAGCAATTGCTATCTGTTGTAAAGTACGGGTTGGGACCTACCAGCTCGGCTCTCAGCACAGCTTTCTCCTCCCAGTTCATATAAACGCAAATGAAATATTTCATCAGCCAAGCTAAATATCACCAAAAGTACTTCTCACGGTTATCATCAATTGACGTGACAATGGCCACACGTGGTTCCTCATGGCCAAGAGGTGGAAGTCTTTCGGAACCCGACACACCATCGTTAGATGTGGACAGTACTTAGTGCTGCCGCCTCATGTCACACGTCCAAACTCCATAGTTAGAGCTACACAGGAGGCTTCTGCAGTCACAACTCCAAAACCGAATTGGATTTAGTTTGTTAAGCAGGTAAGCTCGATTCGCATCTATTAGCCTAGTTCAACCGACATTTGGTTATGCGAGTGTAATTGGAAAATGAAAGAGAACAAAGTGAGGCTTAATAGCAGGCCGAGACATGTCAGCTTGTGCTTTACAGTACATACCATAAGCAGCTGTAAGTATTTTACTTCATGCAGTCACAGTGAGCTTTACTGAGAAAAGCACAAAATTTTGTGATGTGTCGAAATTTATTCAGTTGGTGCAAACACTGTTACCATGATTATTCGTTACTCTTTTCAAGGGAGATGAAACGACAGCAAAACGGTCCTTTCTTAACGCCGAATTTTCTGGAACTGCTACAGCACTGCTCTTTGAGAACATATCTTTAAGGAATGGGATGTATTAGCTTTCCATGAGTCTCAAACCAATTGCTTTGACTGCACGCAAGAGGTAGTTGAGTCGATTTTAAGCTGGAAGTATTTAAAATGACGAATTTTGGGCATTTAGACCTACAATCTAAGCTGTCAATCTTTACGTGTTTCAGATTTTCCTGCTGTCGAGCGTGGTTTCTCTAAAACCGAGAACCCTAAAGGTCAGCCAAAGGTTTTCGGTTTATCAACTGAATCATCAGATACAAACAGGAAAAGCATAAATTCGCCTTCGGAATCTTCTTGGTCTACCATTGCTGAAGGGGAATCATTCGTTCCATTTAATTCAACCGAATTAAGTCATGATATTTTACCCAATCTTTCAGCCTTCACAAAATCGGAGGGGGTTCCAAAATTGACTGATTCGACGATATCCGTCAGTGGGAATGGTGACGCCTTCCTCCAATCAGTTGAACCACCTGTGAATCCTGCTTCAAATCCTCAGTCCGATTCAATCAATTCAAGTAATGCTACTTTAATTCAATCAAGGAATTCCCTAAAATCAGAAGTTCGTCCTCAAAAGGCAGATCATGCATTTGTTTCATTGAATCCCCTTCAAAACGACGCAGAAGTGTTGCCTCAAGAGGTAAAATATGAATCAGAAACGGCAAAGACAAACGCAACGGCTTTGTCGGAGGCGAATCTTCTAAATGCCGGCAGTGGCTCCTTATCAATCGCCAACTTGGTGATTAGCATTGTCATTATCTCTGTCGTCGTCGTCGTCGCTATTGCTGGTGCAGTTTGGTTTGTCTGTGTCCGTGGCAAATGATTCTGTAGTGATTTTAATTTTTCTAGACTTTACAAAGATTTTTTGATGGGCAGGTGGCTTTAGCCCTCATGTAGATATACTTGAGTCGGACTTTTGAGCTGATATTCCTGTATTTCCTTTTAATGCATAACTGACTTAGTCTCCTTCTTCTGTGCTTTCGACTGCGTTTGATGATTCAGCGGTTAAAGTGATTAGGATAATATTTAACTTTTAAATCTCACAGTCCAAGATCTCACTTTAATCTAGACCGTTAAAAAGCTGCCGAATCAGGCCTTCGACAGTCTTCCGGTAACGCTAAGAAAACAATGTCATGTCAAGATTTGCATTGCAAATACACAAAGGTTTCTGAAACAAACAATTTAGTCAAAGATTAAATAACGGTATGATTTAACCATCCGGACACCCCGGGTCCTCCCTTGCCAAACCTGGCCACGTCATCAAATTGTAGAGAGGGCATGCTTACTCGTGGGTCAAATTAAATGTTTGTTGTGCATGTTTAAAGCTGGGTCTGAGGTGATACCACAAGCTTAGGCTTTGACCGATTCCTTCGTGCGCTTCACTTGCGATCAAGGTGGAAATCGACCATGGTAACCAAAACTACCCGCTGATAATTGGCCTCTTAGAAGGGGGCAATTGCTACCCGAAGCCTCGTTAATCCAACACTTCATCCATCAGTGTCTCAAGTTCCACTTGTCGCTTCGTAGACTTAATGGTTAACAAATTTTTATGCCCTTTAAGGCGAACATAAATGGTCCTTGGGCAAATATAAAGTGTTAAGGGTTTTCCTAGGTCGCCTTTTAAGCAGAAAAAATGAATGATAGGAGGATATCAAAATCCACACCTTGATTTTACTCCTGTACTTGGCAAGTTAAAGCAGAAGTTGTGCAAGATAAATAAGAAGGATTTGTCTACTTAGACTTCCTGTACGGCAATTCAGCGTCCTGATTTTTGCTCCATCGTGAACTTCAAAGGAAGGACTAAGTGTCATGACGCCTTTATTACGCCTTCCAGATATCTCTACGACACTAAATATCTAAAATTTCGGGGTTAGAGTCTAAGTGGCACATTAAAAGTTTAAATAAAAACCAATTAATTTGGAGGTAGGTGCGGTCAGGTAAATTGGAAGAGTGAAGAGTTCCAAAGAGTTGGGCTTCCTTCTGATCGGTCTTCAAGAAAATTGAGGTAAGGCATTCAAACCATAAAATTGCCTCTATTTTAAAAAGAGAATTTTGAGCAAAAGCGCCTTTTAAGGTGATTAATTAACATGTAAAATGGAATAACACTTGACCTTTAAACCATCACTAATCGACGTTTCTGGATATTTGCAGGATTTGTAAAAATGTCTTGCCTAAAATTCTATTGACGGGCCTTCATAACGGAACAGGCGTCAACACTACTCAATGCAACGATATTAAGAGCATTTCCTTTTTGGAGGGTCAACTGAGAAGTATAAAGCCAAATTTTAGAGTTTTAAATAGAATTATGGGTTAGATCTTGACTCTAAAGTGGTAAATCAACTTGCTTCCTCATTATCAAAAAAATACCCTTATTCTCGCCCTCAGAAGCGAGCAGTTGTCATCCAGTGACCCATTTCTTACGAAAGAGAAAACAATCACGACTCAGCAAAAGAGGAAGTCCAGCATTTGTGATCGGCGGTGTAGACACCGAGTCACAACCAAGAAAGAGTCACTTCGTTTCCATAAATCGGTTTAAGCACTTTTGGCGTCAAGTATATCGTAGAAATTTTTACTTTCAAATATCTTTTGTTGCAAAAAAAACTCTTCCCAGACTATCGCACAGTCCGCGAAGTAGTGATAACCCGTGATTCGCTTAAAAAATGTCTAAAGTATAATCAGAGCCATCTTAAGACCCCTCCGTAATCATTAGGCGATCCTCAGCAGTCAAGATGGGGGTCAGAGGTGTGGGCTTTCGAAATTGCGCGGGGTTTACTTTTAAAAGTCCTGTCATTTCTGACTGGACGGGTGATTGGTTAACTCCTTTTTTGTCCCACTCGTAGCATTCAACGCAATGACCTTATGAGGCCAAACGAGACACTCTTGGTCCACCCCCAGCCAGATTTATTAAGCATTGAGAATGCTTTCACATGCCCCCTAACGATGTCCATGCAAAGGCTCGATTTGTTTATCAGGTATGTGGTAGTTAAGGTCGACCGTCTGATTCTTAAGGTGTAGACGGAAAAAATAAAAAAGCCAGATATAAATCAGGTCTTCTTCCAGGCAAACACACTAACAAAAATGCCGCAGTCTTGTTAAGTTCATTATTTACGAAGACTTGATACTATACTGATTGGCCTTTGACTGGCTACAATAAGGTTCAAAATTCTTTGCTTTCTCTTTTTCTTTAAAATGCAAACGTACCTTAGGGGAAAAACCACTTCTCAAGACAACCAACAAAGATGCGAACCATGCTCGGAGATGCTTATTCACCTCGTCAATCCAAAATTAGTCAAAACGAATGTCAATTTATCACTCTTCAAAATGCTTATTTGACACATTCAAGTATTCCCACCTACTAGCCATGTAAACCGGATTCAAGTTAGATGTGAGATTTAAATGCTAAATACCAGCAAATTTGACTATACACCGGCAAAAATTATTGCCTCTCCTCCTCCCCCTCCTACACAGTTTCGCCGACTTCCGCGTCACTCACACCGTCCATGCAGCCATTACTGATGCTACCGCTCACCATAGTGATGGGGTAGATACCCCCTCCTCCAGTTGATAGCATCGGCTATGCCACTGTATTATTTTTTTCCGCCTTTGTAGACAGGACTGCCAAAGTGCCTTTTCGCCAATGCAGTCGTGCCCCCACCGTCACAAACCGTTCCGCGAGTCAAAAAGCCATCGAGATGAGTGGGGCGAGGTT